CTGACGATTATGTCGAGGGATCGCTGCAAGGAAACGAGGATCAGCCGAGCGCCAGCGCTGTTGGGGAAAGCAGGCCGGTGGGGGGGCTTCCCCCTCCCACATGGCGACAAAATCTGCCCCCCACTCCGCCGCCCGCCCCTGCGGGCCCCAGTCAGGTGGTTTGCGTGGGGGAGGCGGTTCGGGAATTCGTTCCTGTTGTGCGCCGCAGCTCGCGGCAAGCCCCTGACGAGATATTTGCCACGTGGCGCAATCTCCAGTGGGTGCCCCCAGATTTCGCGCGCGCCCCTGGCGGGCCGGCGTGCCAGGTGGCGGTCGCGCTGGCGCGGCTGAATGCTGACGTGGCGTTCGTGGGAGCAGTAGGGGATGACGAGGCGGGGAATACATTTCTGGAGATTCTGGAGTCCAATGGCGTGTCGACACGTGGCGTGGACATGCGTGGTGGATTAAGAACCGGAGCAAAGCTAATCTCTTTGGAAAAAGCGGAAGCGCAAGCGAAGGATGGAGAATCAGGAGAAGAATTAGAATCACGAGGAGGAGAGGTGCTTAGAGGGGGGGTGATAATAAAGAAGAGCAACACCCGCTCGGCTTCGAATGCAGGCACTGCATGGCGTGCCCGCTTCCCATTGGCTGAGGAAGCGCGTGACGTGGCAGGGCAGGAGGAAGGAGTAGGCGAGGAAGAGGAGGAGGAGAGAAAGGAGTCAGGAGAGGGGAGGGGTGATGGGGAGCTGAGAGTGAAGGCGCTGGCAGCAGCGGCAGCATCCGGGGGAGGTGTATCTGAGGACGCACAGGACGTGCTCAGACAGGTGGGTCTGATGAGTATGAGATGAGTATGAGCATGAGAGACGACAGTCTTTTTTGGTCCCTGATCATACCATTTCAGCAAGCCTTCTAACCGCATCCCACTCCCTTCGTTTTCCCCCCCTATTCGTCCCTTTCAGGCTTCGTGGATTCACTGCACCTCCATGTCTCTCGCCACCCCTTCCGACCGCACTGCACTCCTTGCCGCACTGGACGCCGCAGGCTGCCACCCACTCGCCTCCTCCCCTTCCTCACCACCACCTTCACACTCCCTCACCCCCTCCTCCCCGCACTCCTCCCCCCACTCTCCCCCATCCCCTCCGCGCCTCTTTCTTGATGTAAACCTCCCCCTCTGCCTCTGGGCCTCCCGAGCCTCAGCCTCGGCAGCGCTGGATCCGGTTTGGCGCCGAGCCTCGGTGGTGGAGGTGTCCCGTGCCGAAGCTGAGTTCCTGGTTGGGGAGGAGCGTTTTTTGCGGCGGCGGCAGGCTCGGGTGCGATATGCTTCGGACTCGTACCTGACGCTGAGAGGAGAGAGGGAGGAGGGGGAGGGAGAGGGCGTGTATCACTGGAAGCCGGAGGAACTGGCTGGGCTGTGGCATGAAGACATGGATTTACTTCTGGTGACCCATGGGACCATGCAGGTATGGAAGAGTGTAAGATTGGAAGGATTGTGGCGTTGAAGCGTGAAGGTAGGAGGTCTGGGAGAAGCGGAGTCACATTGATGGCCAGAGGAATAGGCGGGGCAATGGCATGAGGGCAAGAATTTGTTTCTGGCTCATGGGATTCTAGAACTGGAGTGTTGGGAAATTCCATAATCCCATGATATGGCTCATGGTATGATATGGCTCATGGTATGATAATACTGAAGCCTGGTATGATAGAACTGAAGCGTTGGAGCATGCAAGCATGATAGTGCGCAGGTATGGAGGAATGTAATCGCGAGTTGATGCGCGTACGCATTACATGTGGGGTTTGAAATGTCAACCACTCCCACGTGTGAGTCCACTCCACTCAAGCTGTCATTACATGACGCTTTGAAAGCGTTACAAGTTCCCTTGTTCCACTCTCTCTCCTGCCAGGTGCACTACTATAGGAGGGGCTTCCATGGGTGGGTGGAGGGTATGATTGAGTGAATTCATTTGTTCAACCCCCACCCTCCAACCCCTACTGCCCTTTCCATTTCTACCTCCCAGGTGCACTACTCTGGGAGGGGCTTCCACGGGTGGGTGGAGGGCTCGTGTGAGTCGACTCGGTTGTTCAAACCCCCCACCCTTCCACCCCCTACTGGCTTCTCCAATTCACCCATCCCTCTGCCAGGTGCACTACTATGGGAGGGGCTTCCACGGGTGGGTGGAGGGCACAGAGGACGTGCTGATTGCCGCCATGACGTGCGACAGAGCTGGGTCAGGGGATGCCCTTGTGGCTGGTGAGTGTGCTCTTTTAGGGAGCGTGGTTGAAAAGGGGGGTGAGGGAGGTGAGGGTGGAGGCACGGAGGACGTGCTGATTGCCGCCATGACGTGCGACAGAGCTGGGTCAGGGGATGCCCTTGTGGCTGGTGAGTGCTCTTCTCAGGAGTGTGATTAAAAGATGGGCGGGGGGAAATGGGGAGGAGTGGGTGGGTGGAGAAGTGGGTGGAGGGCACAGAGGACGTGCTGATTGCCGACATGACGTGCGACAGAGCTGGGTCAGGGGATGCCCTTGTGGCTGGTGAGTGTGCTCTTTTAGGGAGCGTGGTTGAAAAGGGGGGTGAGGGAGGTGAGGGTGGAGGCACGGAGGACGTGCTGATTGCCGCCATGACGTGCGACAGAGCTGGGTCAGGGGATGCCCTTGTGGCTGGTGAGTGTGCTCTTTTAGGGAGCGTGGTTGAAAAGGGGGGTGAGGGAGGTGAGGGTGGAGGCACGGAGGACGTGCTGATTGCCGCCATGACGTGCGACAGAGCTGGGTCAGGGGATGCCCTTGTGGCTGGTGAGTGTGCTCTTTTAGGGAGCGTGGTTGAAAAGGGGGGTGAGGGAGGTGAGGGTGGAGGCACGGAGAACGTGCTGATTGCCGCCATGACGTGCGACAGAGCTGGGTCAGGGGATGCCCTTGTGGCTGGTGAGTGCTCTTCTCAGGAGTGTGATTAAAAGATGGGCGGGGGGAAATGGGGAGGAGTGGGTGGGTGGAGAAGTGGGTGGAGGGCACAGAGGACGTGCTGATTGCCGCCATGACGTGCGACAGAGCTGGGTCAGGGGATGCCCTCGGGGCAGGTGAGTGTGTTTCTATTGAAGGTGACAGAAGGAGGGGGGGGTGCGTGGAGGGCAGAGGGGATGTGCCATTTGCTGCCATGACGTGTGATGGAGCCCGGTCGGGGGATGCGTTCGTGGCATGTGATTGCTCCGGAATAGTTCAGGTGATTGCAGTAAAGCAGCAAACTTACTCGTGAAAGGATGTTTTTATGGGTTTGCTGCTTGTTGTGCTCTGCAAAGACACACACTGCTCCAAGAACCTTCCATTTCCTTGCGTGAACCCAGTCATCCCCCCTCTCTCCCACAAAACACCCTTTCCTCCTTTCCTCCCCCCCAAATTCTCCCCCTCTCCCCTTTCCTCCCCCTTCTCGTCAACTCTCGCACTCCTACTCAGGACTCCTCCGCAAGCTCTCCACCAACCCTGCTATCCTCCGCAATCAAGATGCGCTAGAGAGGGCCATTCGCTTTGCCATTTCCGCCGGAGTCATCTCCTCCTGGACCACCGGGGCTGTCAGGAGCTTCCCATCTGAGGAAGCCGCTCAGAACCTCACCGAACAAATGTTCCTGCCTTCCATGATTTAAGCAGCGGTCCTGTGCTTGAAATTGAAACAGCACCCTATCAAATAAGAGTTTATTCAACATTTTAGCCTGGGGTAATCTTTAAGAAGATTTCAAGCGTTGAGAAATCCCATCATCAGATGGTATAGCATCTCATCCTTTTGCGCCTTTGTACAAGTTCTTTAAACCCTTTGATGGGAATTTAGTTGCTTGTAGTGGAGTCTCGTTAGCGGTACCTGCCTTGTGCCCTCATCCAGCCTTTGCGCCAAAAAGTGACAAGTCTGCCCGCCCAACAACACATCACATCAATTTACTACTGGCGATCCTAAACATTTATGTTGTTTAGGGAGTTATAGGAATAAAAGTTGACACTTCTGGGACGCAAATCGTCGGAACAAATCTTGCGTTTCGATGCGGGCAGCTCAATTTTCGTCCAATCCGTAAACGCCCACCCATCGCTCAGCTCTCTGGGTATTTCCCCTCGCCCCTCATTGCTCGTGTCTAGGTAGGTTGGTCGTGTGAGCGGTGTGCGAGTGGGGAGAAAAGTGAGTGGTGTGACGAGTGGTGATGTTTGATGTTGATGCCTCGTCTCGTGGTATTATAGACGTTTATTCCTCAGCTCAGTTCATCAAGCGACTCGAAACGTGTCCTTACTATTTTCAGCTCGTCTATACAGCTCGTTTGGGCTGAGAGAGGAGGAGGTCCCGTCGCAAGAGAGTGTATGCGTTACAGATCGCAGCGTCATGCCCTTACCTTGACCTTACACAACCTAGAATGACTTTCATTGCGCCTTATGTAGCCGTTATTATTGAAATCAATTAAATATAGGGACGAGTCAGGACAATGTCTCTCGCAGTGGCCAATAGCGGCCCGGTCTGCGCGTTTGAAGCCGCTCGCGAAGCAACGGCGCAGCGTCGCTACCCTCCCTCTTCGGCTAAATTATCCGCGTCCGAGCCTCCGCCCCGGGCGAAATGCCTCGGACCGAGCCTCAGGTCACGGTTCGGACCGAACCTCGGGACGCCCCTCAAGCCTTCTTCTTCCGAGCCTCTCCGCGCTCGACCCAGGAGCGCGGTGATCGTGCGAGCCGCGACGGACTTGTACCAAACCCTCGGAGTCCCTTATAACGCGAACAAACAAGAAATAAAAAAGGCGTTTCGGGAAATGGCGAGAAAGGTACGCGAAATTGAGAGAGAACGCCGCCGGTCATAAGCGCGCCGTCCTTCGCGATGTCTGCGATGTGTCGCATTGCGCTTTCGGCCCCTTGTGTGTAACCCCAATTTTCACCTCGCACACTCCATCACCCCCCTTCCTACCCCCCCCCCCTTGCCTCCTCCCTCGCCCCCTTCCGCGCCCCCTCCCCTGCTACCTCCCCTGCCCACTCCCCGGCCGTCCCCACCTTCCCCATGTCCTTCCTCGCAGTATCACCCGGACGTGTCCCAAGCCTCAGGTTCGGCCCGAGCCTTCCAGGCTATAGTGGCGGCGTACGAGGTGTTGTCAGACGACCAACAGCGGCGCCTCTACGACCTTAGCGTCCAGCGCGCTGCAACTTCTGTTCGCACTGCTGCGAGTCGCGCGGCTGCTGGTCGCGGTGCTACAGTTGCTCGCGGCGCGTCTGTTCGTGTTGCTGGTGCTCCCAATCGCAGCTCCCCGCGGCATTGGTCGTCCGTGTCATCTGCCACGTCAGCACACGGATCATCTGCCAGGTCAGCAGCACCAAATATTCCAAGCACAATATTCATTAGGTTCACGTTCTTGGTACCCTTTAACCCCAATGGTTACCCCATACTTGTTGATTTGTCCTCTCCTCCCGTACCACCACACCAGCTTAGACCCATTCGACAGGGCGTTCTCAGCCTCGGTCCGGCCCTCCGTCGAGCCTGGCCCAGGTTCGGCCCAAGCCTCAACCTCAGAGTGCCCGATCTTCTCGGCGTGGTACCTGCGGTGGCTGTTCCACGCGCGGTGGGCGCTGGCAGTGCAGCAGCGCGCACGGCGTGTTGCGGCGTTCAAAACCAGGAGCAGCAGCGGCATGAGCCCCTCGTATGCCGCTACGGGAATGAGCAGGGGAGCATGGCGTGGTGAGCATGAGGCACACGAGGAGGAGCAGAGGCATGGGGGGGGAGAGAGGAAGTGGGGACACGCTCAAGGAGACGAGCTGGACTGGCGTACAGGGGATGGTGCAGGGCAGGAGGCAGGCAGGAGCAGATGGAAGGGAGCGGAGCAGGCTGGATCAGATGGGTTGCTGGAACAGGGGGGACTGTTGGAGGGAGATGAGTGCAGTTCTGGAAGAGGAGGTGTTGCTGCTGCTGCTGCTGCTGCTGCCAGTGGGGGTGGTGGTGTTGCAGCAGCAGCTGGGGGCGGTTCAGGAGGAGTGGAGCAAGGGGCAACCTTGGCAGGAGAAAAGGTTTTCGAAGGCAATAGACCGCAGCGGGATGAGCCTAATCAGCATCATGCACCCGCCACTCCCGCCGCCGCTGCCGCCTCTGCTGCTGCTGCTGCTGCTGTTTTTTCCCCGTATTTCAAAGCTTCAACCCTTCCTCTGGCTTCATACGCCCGGTTCGTCCTCTCTTTCCTCCGCCACGCGCCTTCCTCCCTCCTCCACATCCTCCTCTCCCCTCTCCAGCCCGAGTGGCGGGCGTCTTTTGGCTCAGACCTCGTTTTCATCCTCGTTAGTATCATCCTCGGGGTTCTTTATGGTACCAACGCTACTTTAGCATGGCTGTCCTTGGTCCTTATCCTCTCTGCTAACACGAGGCTCGGGTTGAAAGTTGCCGGAGCTGTCGCATGGAGGCTCGGGGGAATGCCGGGCCTGGGGATCGGCGTGGGGCTGCATGCCTTGTCGTTTTTGCTGGGGAATGTGCATCATGAAGCGGTGGGGGCTATGGCACTTGTTGTGTGGATGGGGAGAAGGGGGATGGGTGGTGGAGGTGTGGCAATGGCACCAACTATTGTGGTGTATTTAGTCTACAAGTGTTTAGGGTTGGTTGAGGTAGTATGGTTAGAATGGAGGGATTGGGTACGGCAGAAGAGGGATACATTTGAAAGTAGCATTGGCGGATGGAAAGGTGTCCATACAGAGTGGGGTGGTGAATGTGTATATGGCCCTAGAGAACATGTACCACCTAACCGGAGCATGGCTCCGTTATAATTCTGTGGTGACGTTGTAGTTTTATGTGCATTGAAGTAGCAGCTCTTTCTTGTATTTATTCGCTCAGCTTCCATGTGCTGAGTTTTGCATTTATCTAGGATGTGCTTGTCTTCAAGAAATGTACCCCATTGAAGTTCAATTCACGGGGATATTTTTATCGAGTACGGAATGTGAGAAATTTCACAATCGAGAGGGCCCACCCACATTCATCGCACCATCACCCTCCATTCCATTTCCCCGCTCTCGGTTTCTGCTTGTTGCCCGTCGCCTCTTGTTGTCCTGTCGCCATCGCGCCTCCCTTATTCCGCGACGGTGACGTTACTTCTAGCAGCATCACTGTGACTCGTATTTCCAAGGCTAACAGACCAGGAGGAGGGCAGAAAGGTAGAGAGGGCAGAGAGGGGCGGAGAGGGGCGGAGAGGGCAGAGAGGGCGGAGAGGGCGGAGAGGGCAACATGGGGGAGGACGACGGCTCTCCGTCAATCGCGGCGGAATTTGAGGGCTACGCGCGGGTTCTAGACGAGATAGTGCGTTGCAGTAGAGGGTGCGGCAGGAATTCGGAAGATGCTTGTGACCCTTTCTAGAATTGCTCCACGAGCATCGTCACCCGAATTTCAGCCTCAAGCAAGTGGGCTCACCTCGTTCAGTCGCTGCACCCGGTTGAATTCGTCGTCTCTCTTCTCTCGCTCGTTTCTGTCACCTTCCCCCGTTTGTGTCACATCGCGCGTGCAGAACGAGCGGAGGGAGAGACTGGTGAAAGCGAGCCGGGACGTGACAATACAGAGCAAGAAGATCATATTCGCCATCCACAGGTGCGCTGACGTGGCACCTGCTGACGTTGCGTGATGACGTGGCATGGTGCCTTTTACGCAGTGTCGGGAACCAGTTCGCCCGTTTTAATCAATCACCACGTCACAAGACTTCACTCCCTGGCAGCAGCAGCAGCTAGCAGCAGCCTTGCGAGCCCACCACATCGCTCTCCTGCGTTCTGTACCTGCGTGCTGAATCTTTTTTTTATATTTTTCTCAAAGAGCAGATTCAACATACCTGCATGACTGAGTCCACACCACATTTCTACCCACACGTCTTTCTGCCCCCTGCCCCAACCCCACCTCTCCCCACCACCCCCCTTGTCTCAGAGCCACCACGCCTGCTGCCCTGGCAGGAGCAGCAGCATAGCAGCTGCCGACCCTGTGAGCCCACGATATCGCCCTGGTGGCTCGCGAGCTCAGTGCAGCAGCGCATACACTTCCCATCTAACCACACCTCCCCACTCCCCCCCACCTCACTCCACCCCTCCTTGTCTCAGAGCCACCATCCCTCGCGCCCTGGCAGGAGCAGCAGCATAGCAGCTGCCTACCCTGCGAGCCCACGGCATCGCCCTGGTGGCTCGCGAATTGAACGCAGACCACACATCTACTCCCCCCTTCCCTCCCTGTCCCACCCCCCACCCCTCTCCACCCCTCTCCACCCCTCTCCACCCCTCTCCACTCCTCTCCACCCCTCTCCACCCCTCTCCACCCCTCCTCGTCAGAGCCACAAGTCCGCGCGCCCTGGCAGCAGCCGCGCAGCAGCTGGCCTCCCTACGAGCACACCACATCGCTCAAGTGGCGCGGGAATTGCGAGCAGAGGACTACTGGCGCTTCACACGCGCGTACACGTGGGGGGTGGGTGGAGGGGTGTAGGGGAGACAGGGCGGGGCGGGGCGGGGCGGGGTGGGGTGGGGTGGGGTGGGGTGGGGTGGGGTGGGATGGGAGGGGGTGGGGTGGGCAGGGGAATTGCAAGCAGAGGACTACTGGCGCTTCACTCCCGCGTACACGTGGGGGGTGGGTCGAACGGGGGAGGGATGGGATGGGATGGGATGCGGTGGAATTGGGTGGGATGGGGTGGGCAGGGGTTTCTACGAGCACACCACATCGCCCAGCTGGCTTGCGGGCTGAGTGCAGAGGCCTATAGGCGCTTCACACACGCGTACACGTGGGTGGAGGGTGGATGAGCTGGTAGGGTGGGATGGGATGCGGTGGAATTGGGTGGGGTGGGGCGGGCATGGGCGCACCTGGATATCACATCGCCCAAGTGGCTCGCGAGCTGAGAGTGCTGAGGACTACTGGCGCTTCACTCGTGCTCACACGTGGGGGGGGGGGTGGGTGGGGGGAGAGGGCCTGTTAGTGTGCGATGGGATGCGGTGCAAACGGGTGGGGAAGGATGGGCAGGGGCTCTAAGTAGAGGGTACTGCATCCCATCAGTGCCCAGGGGGGGCCCTGGCATACCGCCTCAGCACTCTTTTTTGGAACTTCTCCCTTTTCCCGTTTTGGCGCTGCAAGAATCTGCTGAGGCGACGTTTTTTCTCCCTCTCCTCTCCCTTCGCCCGGGTCCCTGGCTGTTGCAAGAGTATGTGGAGGCGGCATCGTTCCTGCATTTCCGCTGCGTCCTCTTAGCCGTCCACCCCTTCGCTCTCCGCTCTTCCGCCTGCCCCACTGCCCCCTGCATCCATCCCACCCGCAGTTGCAAGAGTATGTGGAGGCGGCATCGTTCCTGCACTTCCGCCAAACTGGGCGCCTGCTGACCCTCGCCCAGGTGAGGGGGAAAGGGGCGGTGGATGGCGGTGGGAGGCGGTGGGTGGGCATGGAGGGAATCTCGGGTTTTCTTTGAGCCTCCTGCGCCTCACCCATCTGCTCCTCACCCATCTGCGCCTCACCCATCTGCTCCTCACCCATCTGCGCCTCACCCATCTGCGCCTCACCCATCTGCGCCTCACCCATCTGCTCCTCACCCATCTGCGCCTCACCCATCTGCTCCTCACCCATCTGCTCCTCACCCATCTGCTCCTCACCCATCTGCTCCTCACCCATCTGCTCCTCACCCATCTGCTCCTCACCCATCTGCTCCTCACCCATCTGCTCCTCACCCATCTGCGCCTCACCCATCTGCGCCTCACCCATCTGCGCCTCACCCATCTGCGCCTCACCCATCTGCTCCTCACCCATCTGCGCCTCACCCATCTGCGCCTCACCCATCTGCGCCTCACCCATCTGCGCCTCACCCATCTGCGCCTCACCCATCTGCTCCTCACCCATCTGCTCCTCACCCATCTGCTCCTCACCCATCTGCGCCCCACCCATCTGCGCCTCACCCATCTGCTCCTCACCCATCTGCTCCTGGCTTCTCTGCTCCTGCTCCCCATTCACCTTGTTGGCCTCTCAACTTTGTTGCTATTCTTGGCGGCCTGCCTTGCCATGCCCTGCGCAGGAGAGCACAAGAGGTGTTTCATGTGCGGCCGCCGCCCATCCTGGGCATTCTGGACCTGGGGATGCCCAGGAGGGGCGGCGGCCGTTCCATGTGCATGAGCAATATGAGTAGCGTGAGCAATGCAGCGTTCCATGTGCATGAGCAATATGAGTAGCGTGAGCAATGCAGCGTTCCATGTGCATGAGCAATATGAGTAGCGTGAGCAATGCAGCGTTCCATGTGCATGAGCAATATGAGTAGCGTGAGCAATGCAGCGTTCCATGTGCATGAGCAATATGAGTAGCGTGAGCAATGCAGCGTTCCATGTGCATGAGCAATACGAGTAGCGTGAGCAATGCAGCGTTCCATGTGCATGAGCAATATGAGTAGCGTGAGCAATGCAGCGTTCCATGTGCATGAGCAATATGAGTAGCGTGAGCAATGCAGCGTTCCATGTGCATGAGCAATATGAGTAGCGTGAGCAATGCAGCGTTCCATGTGCATGAGCAATATGAGTAGCGTGAGCAATGCAGCGTTCCATGTGCATGAGCAATATGAGTAGCGTGAGCAATGCAGCGTTCCATGTGCATGAGCAATATGAGTAGCGTGAGCAATGCAGCGTTCCATGTGCATGAGCAATATGAGTAGCGTGAGCAATGCAGCGTTCCATGTGCATGAGCAATATGAGTAGCGTGAGCAATGCAGCGTTCCATGTGCATGAGCAATATGAGTAGCGTGAGCAATGCAGCGTTCCATGTGCATGAGCAATACGAGTAGCGTGAGCAATGCAGCGTTCCATGTGCATGAGCAATATGAGTAGCGTGAGCAATGCAGCGTTCCATGTGCATGAGCAATATGAGTAGCGTGAGCAATGCAGCGTTCCATGTGCATGAGCAATATGAGTAGCGTGAGCAATGCAGCGTTCCATGTGCATGAGCAATATGAGTAGCGTGAGCAATGCAGCGTTCCATGTGCATGAGCAATATGAGTAGCTTGAGCAATGCAGCGTTCCATGTGCATGAGCAATATGAGTAGCGTGAGCAATGCAGCGTTCCATGTGCATGAGCAATATGAGTAGCGTGAGCAATGCAGCGTTCCATGTGCATGAGCAATATGAGTAGCGTGAGCAATGCAGCGTTCCATGTGCATGAGCAATATGAGTAGCGTGAGTAATGCAGCGTTCCATGTGCATGAGCAATATGAGTAGCGTGAGCAATGCAGCGTTCCATGTGCATGAGCAATATGAGTAGCGTGAGCAATGCAGCGTTCCATGTGCATGAGCAATATGAGTAGCGTGAGCAATGCAGCGTTCCATGTGCATGAGCAATATGAGTAGCGTGAGCAATGCAGCGTTCCATGTGCATGAGCAATATGAGTAGCGTGAGCAATGCAGCGTTCCATGTGCATGAGCAATATGAGTAGCGTGAGCAATGCAGCGTTCCATGTGCATGAGCAATACGAGTAGCGTGAGCAATGCAGCGTTCCATGTGCATGAGCAATATGAGTAGCGTTAGCAATGCAGCGTTCCATGTGCATGAGCAATATGAGTAGCGTGAGCAATGCAGCGTTCCATGTGCATGCCCTCCTCTTACCTATCCACCTATGCTCTCTGTACTGCATTGCTCACGCTACTCATACTGCTCACACTGTATGCCCTCCTCTGCACTCCTTCCACTGCACTCTTGCCCAGGTGAACGGTGCGTTTGAAGGCATTCTGGACCGCGATGGCCGAGCCTTCCACGTGCATGCTGCTGACTATGTGCTGGGGGTGAGTGCAAAAGGGTGAGGAGGGAGGGAGTGCTGCATTAGTGCTGGGTAAGTGGTGCGTCCGTGAGTGGACTTTTCCTGGTGTACACCAGAAAATATACATATATGTGCGTATACGTATGTATTTAGATGATACATTACGTGTTTCCCCTGCCTCCCCTCCTCCCTTCCAGCTCGCTGATTTGACCGGAGAAGTCATGAGGCTAGCTGTGTCAAGCCGTGCAGCTGCTGCTGCTGACGGTGGTGGTGGCGCTGCTGCTGATAACGCGGGTGGTGGTGATGGTGGTGCGGGCTCCACTGGAAAAGGGACCAGCAGGCGAGGGAAGAGGCAACGGGAACAACCAGAGGCTCAAGCAAAGGCTTCAGGTGCCGAGCCTGCGGCTGCCTCCGAACCTGTTGCCGCGGCCGAGCCTGAAGCAGAGGCTGGAGAGGGGAGAGGGGAATTGGTGGTGGATGCAGATGCGTGTCGGTTGTTCGTGCAGAGGCTGTATGCAGGGTTCAGCCTGCTGCCTAGGAGCAGCGAGCTGGGTAAGGAGATGGGGAAGAAGATGGACGTGATGCTGGCGAGCCTCAACAAGATTGAGAACGGTGAGAGGGAGTTCCTGGGCATGTGAAGCGGTTCCTGGATGTATGACGGGGTTTCAGGACTACAGAGGTGGTCCAGCTATATGCAGGGTTCCGTCTCCTTCCCAGGAGCAGCGAGGTGGGGAAGGAGATGGGAAAGAAGATGGATGTCATGCTGGCGAGCCTCAACAAGATTGAGAACGGTTAGAGGGCGTGTGAAGGGGTTTCTGGGCGTGTGAAGGGGTTTCTGGGCGTGTGAAGGGGTTTCTGGGCGTGTGAAGGGATTTCTGGGGAGGGGCGTGTTTGAGGCACTAAGCTTGGGGCTTTTGAGTCGACTCAAAAGTCACCTGTGGGGAGGAAGAGAGACGTGATGGCTATGTGGAGTTAGCTATTTCCTTCCGCTGTCTTCTCCCCCCTTCCAACACACACCCTTTACCGTTCTACACTCGCTCTCTGACCCATCCCAACCCCTCTCTGCCCCTCCCAGTGTCGTACACTCGCTTTGTGCGAGGGTCAGAGTATCCAGAAGATCTGCTGCAGCTGGGATTGGAGGGGAGGGAGGCAGGAGGAGTAGAGGGGGAGTGAAGAGGGGCATTCACATCTAGTGGAACGGGCTGTGAGTGAAGGTGCGAGGGTCGGAGTATCCAGGAGATCTGCTGCAGCTGGGATTGGAGGGGAGGGAGGGAGCAGCAGAGGGGGGAGTGAAGGGGAGTATCCACATCAAGTGGTATGCGCTGTGAGTGAAGGTGTGGAGGGTCAGAGTAACCGGAAGATTTGCTGCAGCTGGGATCGGAGGGGAGGGAGGGGGGAGCAGAGGGGGAGTGAAGCGGGGATATGAGTGGTAGTAAGAGCTGTGAGCAGATGTAAATACTAGCGGGTGTGCGAGGGGTGCTGGTGATTAGTTCAAAGGCCTGAAAAGATGGCTACTGATTCTCTTGTAAGAGTATTGCTGCTACTGTTTCTCTTGTAATTTGTAAGACACTGGTACTTGATTTTGAGAGGTACTATCTAGTCAGTACTGGTACCGTTGATAAGTAATTTGGCATGGAGATGCACGCATGCTAAGGGTGCATTCCTGTGGGGACACTTGTGTCTCAATCACAAATGCGAATCGGCTTTCGGCGACTTGTACTGTGTTTATTATTGGTCAGCGTGAAACGCGCTGACATCGCTGTCGAATTGTGAAACGACCCGTCATTGTTAAAGAATCGCACGCGACTCGAAATGCCCGACACGACCACATGCACCTGGACATCCGAAAATGCCAATTTTGCGAGGGAAAAGATCCCGCGCATCGAAACCACGCCCCTGCTCGGAGGTTGAAAATACGGGTGTACTGTCACCCAGTCAAATGCACACACCTGTACATCTCTTTTTTATCCCCGCCAGTGAAACATGTCCAACTGAACCTGCCAATATGTCGCCCTACATCGCGGTACATTCGATGTTTGTGACACAACATTGGGAAAATTAACAGGCGCGACTCGGGAAAACGGGGATTGAGACACAAGTGTCCCCACAGGAATGGACCCTAAGTTCAAATTGCTACACAATGGTGAATGCAGCATACATGTATATTATTTACAGGATATACACATTGCAACGCTATTCCCTAGCCATACACAACTGTAATATGAACACAATTTTGTCAAGCATGTAGGCAACAAGCAAGGAACACACACCAAGCTGTACACATACATACGAATTCGCCCCAGAGATATTCGGATGCAATCACCTATCCTCTTCACCTCACACTCACCTATCCTCTTCAGTCACACCACACCACTAGCTCAGCACTGCATCAAGCAGGACTGCCACCACTCCTATCACCACCACACCCCTCCCACCTCCCATCCTCACTCCACGACTCCCACCCTTACCATCTCACCCCTCCCATGGTCACACTATACATCAGCATGAGCGTAGTCGCCGTGATGAGCAAACTGCGGTGCAAGCTCATACTACTACCGCCCCTTTCAACACTCCACGTCTCCCACCCTCACCACCACACCCCTCCCATGGTCACACTATACATCAGCATGAGCGTAGTCGCCGTGATGAGCAAACTGCGGTGCAAGCTCATACTACTACCGCCCCTTTCAACACTCCACGTCTCCCACCCTCACCACCACACCCCTCCCATGGTCACACTATACATCAGCATGAGCGTAGTCGCCGTGATGAGCAAACTGCGGTGCAAGCTCATACTACTACCGCCCCTTTCAACACTCCACGTCTCCCACCCTCACCACCACACCCCTCCCATGGTCACACTATACATCAGCATGCGCGTAGTCGTGGTGGTGAACTAACTGCGGTGCAAGCTCGTACTTCTACCGCCCCTTTCAACACTTTTTCGCCCTACCACACCCCTCCCTCCCACCTCTCACCCTACCATGCTCACTCCACGTCAGCGTGCACATAGTCCCGATGAACAAACTGCGGTTCAAGCTCATACCTGTTCTACCTCACTCAACACTCCCAGTCTCCCACCCTCCCCTCCCCACCACACCCCTCCCATGCTCACTCCACGTCAGCATGCACGTAGTCCCGATGAACAAACTGCGGTTCAAGCTCATACTTGAGCCAAGCAGCACCTGCCAGCGCCACCACCGCTCCCACTGCTAGCCCTGCCTTCCCTCCAACCCCCACCACCTCCCCGGGCGCCACTGCTGCTGCTGCTGCTAAAAGCACCGCCGCTGCCCCTGCCAACACAGCAGCCAGCCTCCTCACATTTTTCAGAGCTGCCCGGCAGGAGGAGCATTTTTCTGTGTGCTGCCCGAGCCGGTCGAGCATTTCTGCCCGGGACAGAACCGTGGACGGGAGAGGTGCGGCGCCTCCCGGACCTGCAGTTAGGCTCGGATCCCAAGCAGGTTCACCGCCACCGTACCTACGAAGCCAGTTCCGGAAAGCCAAAACCATCCTGTCAGCTGCTGCTGGGGTGTAAGTCAGCTTACTATACGGCACCCCACCCCCTCCCCCTCCTCCACCCTTCAAAACCTTCTCCTGACCCTGCAGCACAATCATATCTCCATCGTAGATCAGATTTGATGTGAGATGCTCCAGCCACCGCGGGTACAGCTGCCACCATTTGCCCCCAGGGACGGTCAGCCGGGCGAAATTCCTCGCGCTGCAAACAATAGACCTCGTTTTTCCGGGACCCATGGGGACGTTAAAGGAGCAGATCCACAGCTGCCAGTGCTGCCTGCCTATAACGGGGATAGTTGGGAAGAGGTCGATTCGGCTGAAGAAGGAGCAGGGTGCCATGAACCAGGAGGAAATACGAGGTGTTGAGCCGTCATCAGCAGAGGTGGTATCAGGTGTGCTTGTATCGGGGCTATTAGCGGGTGTGACTGTAACGGGTGTGCTTGTATCAGTGGTGGCCGAAAACCCGAACGGTCCACTGGATGTGATGTTGAAGGGCAGCGGCTTGGCTCGGTCCCTTCGCCCCGTGACCTGTAACAGGGTAACCAGGAGCAACAAGACGGGCAGGAGGAAACTTTCAGTCCAGGGTCAATCTACTTGGATGACCGTCTAAGAAGCCAAAAAAAAAAGGGAGAGGGGGGGTTGGGGGGAAGGGGGGGAAGTGGGGGAGGAGGGGGGGGGGGGGGGGGTGAGCTTGCTAGTGGTTGCTATCGTTCGCCATGACTCACTTCCCTAACGTGTAATATTTGACCTCGTTGCAACGAGCACAACCATATCATTTGCGCCTTGTAACGCGTACCCAGTGTAACTCGTACCTTGTGATGCGCGAATTCGATATGGGAAGGGTCGGATACGTTCTCCATGAGCGTATCGAATCCGTAATACAGGTCCCTCTGTATAGTCACACTCGAAAACCCCTCATCTTCAAACACGTCCGGCAATCGCGGCGGCTCGACAGCTAGAGCCTCCTCCCATCGCCCTTCCTCCGGCCAGACAAACAGAAGCCCTTGGGAAACCAGGGCCGGGTACGAAGCTACGCAGGCTCGGGACGAGGAACAGGCTCGGGATTCCGGGCCTGAGTCCGAGGCTTGGGGGATGACCGCGCACGTCCCGTCGCCTCGGAACGACCAGCCGTGGTACGGGCACTGTAGCAACCCATTCTCGTCCAATCGGCCTTCGGAGAGCGGCGCGAGGCGGTGCGGGCAGCGGTCCGCGTGCGCCCGCCATCTGCCCTGCGAGTCGCGCCAGATCACCAAGTCGCGGCCTAGGAGCTGGAACGACGTCGGGCGGCTCGGGTCGAGGTCTTCGATTAAAGCCACAGGGTACCAGTTTTTCTCCCACACGAACTCGTCGCGCGATTTCACCTCCGAGTCAAACAAGTCGTCAAGAGTCTTCGCGTTTCCTTCCCCCGAATTGAGCTCTCCAGCGGGGGTGACGGGAGTTCCGCCCAGCGCCTTGGCGGGCCCTTCCAAGGGCGCGGGATCCGGGGGGGTCGCAAGGGCGCAGGAGATGGCGGGAGGTCGGCGGAAGCTCTGCGCGTAGCTACCACCAGCGCTACAAACTCCGCGCGCAGTCAACGACCTGTGCGCCAAATTCCTCCTGGGAACAGAGGATGCACTGTGAAAGCGCGCAAACGAAGCAGGATTCGCACGGGCGCGCACAGGAGACGGTGAGACGACCGCCATACATGGGGGCGGCGCGATCGTCGACAGCCTAGTTGAAGAAGCAGCTAGGGCACTCGCGCTAGCGTCCATAATAACGCAGCTTCAGTGTAGTGAAGCTTCAGTGCGAGAGTGTAATACTGTTGTGCTATTTCGCGGAACTGGTGTTGACCCAAATGATTCTCGAGTTATATCAGAGTAACCTCAGTGGCGTCAGATGAACTGTTTGTCCTTAGCTTCTCGAGGTAAACAGCTTCACGAGCCACTGCGCGGCTCCTCGCGGGTTCGAGAGGGGAGGAATCGAGGCGTCTGACGAATAATTTTTAAGAGGCCCTGCGCAGCTATTATACGCACAGATGGAAGTATCGTGGAAGAAGGAGGGGAACCATGGCGTACTGGAAGAATCGAGAGCTGTCGCATACGCGCCATGGCCACTAAAGGAGTCGGTGCTTTCGAGGCTAACCGTACGGAAGCTACGAGGGGCAGTCGAGTCGTAGAAGTAACACGTCATATGCATGCTAAAAGACGATGTGCGGACGCTAGAAAGCTGGACAACTGAGTTGGAAACACGAGGAAGAGGAATGGAAACTCTTGTCCCGCATCTGAGCTGGAGTATGCCTCAAGCAGAAAATGATGGGAAAACATCCCCAGAAGCTATGACATACATGCTCTCGCTTCTGAAACATCCCTTTGAACGGATACGAGAGGGATGCAATGCAAGACTGGTACCTCGATTCTCTCGAGGCGCAAAAATGCGCGGTGCGCGAAACAAACATCGAGAAATGTCTGTTCGCGGTGAAGTCCCGTTGGGCAGAGCTGAGGTGAGAATGCATGCGAGTGTGCTGGCATCGCGGTGTCCTGTATGTGTAGGATGGTTGGACAGCCGGATTGCGGTGCGATGCTGGCTTGTCCACGTCGGTGAGTCCGGAGGGCTGAGATAGTGCCACGTTTTGAAGTAGCTCATTAACAAACCTCGATTTTGGCCAATGTACCAGTGCATCCCCATGAATGCTTTAGAGTAGTATGAGTTCCAAAAATACCACATGATAGCATCTCATAGCCATGAATGAGAAATTATATATAATAAATTATTAGTAGAAATTTTTTTTCGAGAAATCTGGAGTTGTGATACATGGTCAGCATATTATATAGTTAAGTATATATTATTAAACTATTCAAATTGTATCAGCCTAGTTATGAGCCTACATGAAAAATAAGGATTTCTTTTTTGCCTACATGAAGCAACGAGCCATTGCATAATTGTACTTTTTATTCTCTGATGTTATGGTAGTCAAATGCACATTCTCCACATACCATATTTCACCATCCACCCCGTCCTTTCTTCCCCAGCGTGGACCAGCAGCGCCACCGAATTCACCTCTCACGCCTGCATGCATCCATGCTCCTGATTAACACGGTTTTGGTACTTGCCCTGAGAAACGCTGACCCGGATGGCTGTTCCAAGAATGGAACTTCTTTCAGTTTACAATTCACCCTGGTACTCTTCACTGTCCGTCGAGATAATCATTCTGTACACCGCACGTCCAGAAATGCATCCAGGGTCAGGTGTGATTTATCTTTCAGCCATTGAAAATTATGGGTGTTTTGAGGCGTCGTTCAGGGTCCGAGAAGGTGCCAGCAGACATCCGTCCCGTTCAGACCAAATTTTCCTTCCGACAATACCGCTGGGGCTTCACATTCAGCTTTCACCTCTAGCTCTCACATTCAGGAAGCCGAAGGTCCTAGAGAAATTAGAAGCTAGCTGCTAGCCTGACGTGGCTAGACCCTGCGCCCGGGGTATGCTCGCTTACGGAAGAAATTTTCGGAAGTAGCAGCGCCGAACACGGTCTGTGGTTAGGATTTATCACTCTCTAGCCCTTAGCAGCGTAGCTGTGAATGAAGAGAATAATTCAGGCTGTAGTTTTTCTCTGCCTGACAGTTCAGGTTGTTATTTGGCTGTCGGGGGCGTATTTCAAGCGGTTAGATGTAGTAGAAAGTCACAGTTCATTCTAGCTATCGTGGTCGAGCAGGATAGCTCGTAACACCTTAGCTACCTAGAAAACGTACGGCTACAATCGGGTTTGGGGAGATGGCGACGGAGAGGGAGCATCACATCCGTCGGATGGACCGGAACATTTTCGGCCTGCTCGAGGGACACCGTCTCGACTCGCGCGAGGTGTGGGAACGACTTCGAGAGTAGTTTGTTTGACGCTTAGCGTATATCGAGTCGCTTCATACTCGTTAAGAGTTTTCAAAGCAACTCCAGTATTTCCGTGAAAGTTAGAAAAATAATATCCTTCTGTTTCCCTTGGCATCCTTACACGCGTGGTTGTTTCAGGTTTCTCATCCTTACTCTAAGCATGATCTCGTGCTCCGAAAGTATTAGCTGCTTATGATTTTAATGGTTCCCTTGGCATTCCTACCTGTGCGACTGCCCGCGTGTCTATTTCAGGTGCCTCCCCCTTACTGCGAGCATGATTTCGCGCGCCGGATGCAGTTCCATCCTTCGTTTGTGTCACGCCTCGCATTGGAGACCGTCATGGAGGTCGGTGGTGGATTGTGTTGGCTTGTGGTGGCTTGCGAATTTCGAGCCGTTGGGTTTGTTCTGCGCTGTTGCGTTAGACTAAGCAAGCCCTTGGGTTCTTTTTTTTAAGCTTACTGTTTTCATTGAGAGCGTGGATGTCAATGTTCCTGTATGTATCACATCACACTCCCTGAACCTGAGCTCAAACCCGAATCTGCTTCCTCAGGGTCATCGGGGTTGTGTGAACGCCATAGCATGGAATCGATCCGGCTCTCTCCTTCTCTCCGGTTCTGACGATTTTATGGTAAGAAAAGCTTTAATCCCCAAAGTTTCCTTTTGGTGGGTGGGGGAGAAGGGGGAGGGGGGTGGGGGGTGGTTTGTGGGGGAGTTTGACGATTTTTTGGTGAATTTGTTAGTAAAGCTGCTTCCGTCCTGTGTCACTGTGTGGACTGATGGATTACAGCCGATCATGCAGTATTCCACAATCAGTAATGCATTCACGTCGTTGGTGTCTTTTTTCTGTGTTATCATGTTCAGCTGCTATAAATACGGTTCAGCGCACCGGCTTGGCTTGTAGGCAGCATCCACTGGAATGCGACTGTCATTCAGTGAAGGAGCCACGTGTTCTTCATACATCATCCTCTTGACTGCCCCTCCTAAGCTCTTCCTCCCTCTCCCCCCCACACTACCCCCTTCCTCCACCGCTCGTATGCATGTACGAGAGGTAAGTATAATGTTCCTTGAACTTTCTATGTCCCCACGTTCTCCTCCCGCTTTTTCCACTCCGCAGGTGAACGTGTGGGACTACAACTCACGGAGGTTACTGCATTCAGTGGACTCAGGCAACTCGGGCAACATCCTCTGTGTGCGCTCTTTTCCCCACTGTCTTACCAAACCCCCCATTCCCCCCTATCCCTCCCTTTCTCCTCCCGCCCTCCCCCTTCTGCAGGTGAACGTGTGGGACTACAGCTCGCGGCGGCTGGTGCATTCAGTGGACTCGGGCCACTCGGGCAACATTTTCTGTGTGCGCTTCATGCCTGAGACGGGGGATGATGTATTAGCCTCTGGCGCTGGGGACAACGAGGTGAGAGGGTGGGGGTGGGGGTGGGGGGAGAGGAATGGTGTGGGGAGTAGGGCACTGGGCTGGGCTAAGTGCGCGGTTGACCCAGCTGGGCAACGACTTCTGTGCCCGAGTCCAGGCTGGGCTGGAGAGAGTGAAGGCGTGTGGGGGGATGCCCACCTGGTAGAAGATGAGGAAATGCCATCCCTCGTGCTGCAAGGTGGGAGAGGGGTTGGGAGGGGGACAGGTGGGACAGACAGAAGGTAGGAGGGGATGAGAAAAAGCCCTGCCTCTTGTAGACATGCTATCAAGCCCAGGGTCAATCACCACCCAGCCTAACAGGGCGTGCTATGCTCAAAAAGCAGCAAGTCATTGTGCAGCACAGCCGACAGGAAGAAAATGTCGAGAGTGGGATTTGAACCCACGCCCTTTCGGACTGGAACCTTAATCCAGCGCCTTAGACCAACTCGGCCATCTCGACATACTCCTCTGGTAGGGGCGTTTAAACCAGCCGTTTCTGAGCTTTTGCTCCTCCCATCAGGCGTGCACCTACTCTTTAGATTCATCACTCCTACCCTCTGCACAAATCTCGCATTTAATTCTCTCACCTCCTTCTTCCCTTGCCTCCCCCTTCTCCCTAACCCAATCAGGTGCGAGTGCACAGGCTCTCACGCTCCACTGCTCCTGCCCCTACCACGTCATCCTCCCCCTCTGCAACTGGTTCGCCCGGTGCCGGTCGGCAAGATTTGTCTGCATCCGGCGGTCCGTCCCATTCATCAGAGCAGGCAGCAATGTTCCGGTGCCACAACCGACGGGTCAAGAAGCTTGCGGTGAGTGTGAGATGAGATTGGAGTCGCTTTTTAGGAATTTGTGAAGAGACTCCAACGTAGGTGCCACAATCCATGGGCCACGATCGTGTTTGTCACAGCAACGCAAGAACGCAGCAACATAACCTCATAACCTGAAAGAAGCAGCTTTTCGGCTGTACCATCACCTCCTCCTTTGGCTGCTCCTGCTGGCATCGTGTGTGCGTGCTTGCACCTCTCTGTGTGCCTGTAACGAGCAGGTGGGGTGCGAGTGAGGATGCCACACTGCGCCAGCACAACCTGAGAGAGGCGTCTGTCTGCCCTCCTTCATTACCTCACACCCTCATCTCTTCCTCTCTCCGCCCCTGTCCGCCCCTGTCCGCCCCTGTCCGCCCCTGTCGCTCCTGCATGTGTGTGTGCTTGCACCTCACTCTGTGTGCCTGTAACGAGCAGGTGGAGGAGGGCAATCCGCATGTGGTGTGGAGTGCAAGTGAGGACGCCACACTGCGCCAGCACGACCTGAGGGAGACGTCTGTCTGTCCTCCGCCCACCACACACGCGCGCCCGCACTCGCCTCTCCACCACTCCCTCTTTCACGGCGCCTCAGAATGCCGCAGTGTGCTGGTATGCCAGCCAAACCATTCCCCCCTCCTTCTGACCAGTGTGACCCCTATTTCTGACCAATGTGTCTGATATGCCACATGGGTGGCAGAAAATAGGGCTTGAGTGCGACTGCCCTAGTCCTGCCGCCCACCACTCAAGCCCCGCACTCCCCTCGCCACCACTCTCTCTTCTGCGGTGCCTCTCGCACTTATTGATGTCACGCTGTGCTGGTATGCCTATGGGCCAGTGGGCCATGTCGTCTCTCTCATTCCCTTCCTCACAGGTGCTTTCCTGCCTATATTCTCCGCACTTGGAGAGGCACCCACACACCCCTGCAATCCACACCCTGCCATTTACACCCCTACCATTTACACGCTCATGTCTTCTCCCTTGCAGCTTGACCTTCGGGCAGCTGGAAAAGTTTCGCTCGAGGATCCTGCTCGCGATTCATTGGCTCTCAAGTCTTGTGCCATCAGCCCGACCCGGCCACACCTGCTGATGGTGGGAGGAAGGTGAGTTTGCTCCGTCCGTTTTGAGACGTCTCAAAACACTACTTCATACATGTGACCACACCTGCTGATGGTGGGAGGAAGGTGAGTTTGCTCCGTCCGTTTTGAGACGTCTCAAAACACTACTTCATACATGTGGCCACACCTGCTGATGGTGGGAGGAAGGTCAGTCCCCCCTCCCTGTAATTGGTGCATCTGCTTGCCTCTGCCATAGTCCGTCCGTCCCCACACTCGCCCCTCTCCTTACCCCTGTGCGCTTTCCTCCTCCCCTCGCCCCTTCCAGTGACGCCTTTGCTCGCATCTACGACCGTCGAATGCTCCCGTCACCCTCCTCCCTCTCGCGCGCCTCTCCTCGCCCCAAGCCCCCGCCCCCTCTGCTCCTGCTCGCCCCCAGTCACCTTTCTGAACCGGTATGTCCCGTCAGTCCGTTTCAGCACCCCTCACCACCCCGCAGTACCCCTCAGCTCACCTCTCAGCACCCCTCTCTACTCCTGCCCGCCTCTCACCACCTCTTTGAATTGTTATGTTGTGAAAGCACTTGTTGTAAGTGTGTACTGAGTTGGACCCCCCTTCCCTCCCCCCCCCTCTCTTCCCCCTTCCTCCCCTCCCAACTACCTGCTCCTGCTCTTCCTCAGAGTGTCGTTTCCCATATAGGACCTAATCTTCCTGGCAATTCCGCATCTTTTTGTACTTTCTTTCCGTGTCTCCCCTTCGTTTCGTGTTCCCACCCCCTCAACTCGCAAAACCTTCCAACTTACCACTCTTCAACCACCCCTCTTATAAATCTCCCTGACCCCTCCTCTCCTGTCCCTTTCACTCCCCCCACCGTCCTCCCTCATTCCATTCCAATCCCCCAATCCCCCCGAAGTTTGAAGAAGGGTTTTGAGACATCTCAAAACCCTTCTTCTTTCACTCCCCCAACCCTCCTCCCTCATTCCTTTCCAATCCCCCAATCCCCCCGAAACCCTCCCTCCCTGCCGCAGCAAGGGCGCTCAGGCCTGCACCTGACCCACGTGGCCTTCTCAGCCAATGGGGAGGAGGCGTTGCTGAGCTACAGTGGCGAGCACGTGTACCTGTTTGACCTGGATCGAGGTGGGCAGAGCATCCCCTGTTGACTGCGTTGACCTGGAGAGAGGAGGGATGAGAGGGGTGATGGGTGGGAGGTGAGAGATGAGAGGAGGGAGGAGAGGAGCAGGTAGGCAGGTGGGGTGTATTTTCCGCCTTTTCTACCTCCTTCTTGTTTTTTCTCCCTTAGTCCTCCTCCTGTTCCCCCTACCCTCCTCCCTACCCTCTCCCCTCCTCTTCCCTCTTTCCCTCATCTTGCTCTCGCTGCCTCTTTTTCACACAGCAACCTGCTGTGTGACGAGGGCAAGATGGTTGCCATCTGTGCTCGCATTCCTGCTCACGTTGCAGCTTCTCGCATGCTACTTATGAACCGCCTTGGAAACATTCTGCATTTTCCGCTCTCCTCTCTTCCCCCTCCCCCCTCCTCCATGTCCCCTCTGCCTGTCTTCTTCTTTCTCAGCAACCCTGCCATCTATGATTTACACTCCTGCTGACGTGGCGGCGTCTCACAGGTTGGCTCCGCTCAAACCCTCGGACATTCATTACAATCACACCGCCGGCCCCACCACCACCACCACTGTCAGCAACGGCCGCACTAACGGGTTTTGCCAATCAGGCAACCACAACCAGCAGCAGCAAGAACAAGAACACATTATTTGCAGCAACAGCAAGCATAAGCCCTCCTCTCCTCACTTGAAACCCCACGGTCCTAAGCCCGTTGCAGCTAAGCCCGCACAGCCTGCTAGCTTTGGGGAGAAAGATAAGAACGGCGCTCTTCCGAAGCAGAGCGACAGGTTCGGCAGCGCCAGCAGCAGCAGCGTGTGGGATAGGTACACCAATGGACGGACTGAATTGCCTCGGGCAGGAGTGGTTCGGGACCGAGCCGTGGGCCCAGGCTTGGGACCAAGGGACCGGGATTATACCAAGGTTAGTGGGGTGGACTCCTTAGCTTCTTTCCCTCACCCTGCTTGCTCAGTCCCCCCAACTCCCCACCCACCCCAGCCCCAAACCCCACCCCCGCCCCTCACCCACAACCCCTCACCTCCACCCTGGCTCCCTGCTACTTCCACCCCGTGCAGTCGTTTGCCTCCCTGTTCTCCTGCTTTACTTCAGCTTCTCCTGCTTTGCTTCCTCGTCTCCTGCTTTTATTCCTCTTCCCCGCTTCTCCCTGTTGGCTTATAAGCGCCTTCTGTCTCCCCCCTTGCCTTCCTTCTCTTGTCGTCTCTTCCTGGTTCCCGTTCTGTCTTTGTCTTGTGACTTTCCTCCTGCTTTCCCCTCCTTCTTTTTCTTCCCTTTTCCAGCTGCAAGAATGCGAGCAGCTGCTGGAGGAAGCTTCTGCGATAGTTCTCGGCCTAGAATCCGAGTCAGAAGCAGCCAGGCCGGCAGGCGAGGGGGGAGAGGGGGCGGGAGGGGCATCAGGACCTGCCTCAGGTGCCGCCCCAGGTGCCGCCTCAGGTGCAGCGTCAGGTGGGGCCGGCAGGAGGGCGTCAAGGGAGAGCACGCGGGCTCAGCAGGTGGCGTCTGGGCGGCGGGCCAGCCTGGCGACAGACCTGTGCAGTGCGGTGCTGGAGGAGGGGGGGGATGTGATTGGGCCGGGGGTGCGGCACGATGCGCTCTGCACCAGAGCTGCTGCAATGCTGGAGGTGAGTACTTATGGGTGACTATCGTTGAAATTGGTTCAAGGCAAAGGGCAAAGGGCCAGTCTGGCGATGGACCTGTGCAGTGCGGTGCTGGAGGAGGGGGGGGATGTGATCAGGCCGGGGGTGAGGCATGATGCGCTCTGCACCAGAGCTGCAGCGATGGTGGAGGTGAGTCTTTATGCCCAGCTTGCTCGTGACGTGATGAGTGTTGGTCAGTCCTTCGGCAGTGTATGTTTTTTGAGAATTCTCAAAAAACTTAGAGTCCTTAGGCTAGTGTATTGTTGAGTTGGGTCAAATGATGGATTTCAGTGGGTTGGGGTAGGGCACGATGCGCTCTGCACCAGGGCCGCTGCAATGCTGGAGGTGAGTCGTTATGGGTTTCCGTTGCTGAGTTTGGTGTAGGGGCAAAGGGCCAGCCTGGCGATAAACCTGTGCAGTGTGGTGTTGGAGGAGGGGGGGGATGTGATTGGTCCAGGTGTGCAGCACGATGCTCTGTGCACCAGAGCTGCTGCAATGCTGGAGGTGAGTCGTCATGCTAAGTTTGTTTTTGCTGATTTAAACTATCATCCACCATTATTTATGTTGGCTCAAAGATACTCACCGTTGCTGTTAGGAGAGCTGTTTGATTCTATGAAATGATTCTCGCCCTTACAATCTGTTCTGTGATCTTACAGAGGGGATGGAAGAATGACGATCTGATGGTGTTGCGTGACTGTAACGAAGCCAGGCGGATCCTTCCCACGTCCATCCGCGCTCATCTCTACATGGCCCATGCCTTCTCCCAGGTAGGTTGACCCCCCGTTGACCCCTGTTGACCTCCGTGGATCCGTTGACCTCTGTTGACCTCCGTTGACCTCCATTGACTTTGCATTGTACAACATTGTACAATATTGCATTCTAACACTTCGTAGTACCTACTTAATACACGCACAGTTCTGCTTTGGCACTAAGCTGGCCATCCCAGTCCATCTGGCTCTCTTCTCTGCCTTAGTCTCCAGCGTCCCATGGCGGCATGGCCTCTCCCAGGTGGGCTTGCCTTCGTTGACCCTTGTTGACTTTCTTTGACCTGAGTTGACCTGCATTGACTTGCATTGACCGGTGTTCCTGCCTTTACTATCTCCCCCCTTTCACCAGCTGTCAGCCGCTGCAGAACATTCAGTTCGGCTGTCAATAGTGGACAGGTGGGCAGCGGAGGCCTTACATTGAGGTCTGCTGCTTTGGAACTCTTTCGTGAGACATCCAGACATTTGTTAGGCTCTCACCTTTCCCCGACCACCTTCTCCCTCCCTGGTGTTCATTCATCCCTGCAGCTGGGCCAGCATCAGGAGGCGGGGCGGTGAGTTTGCAGAGTTTTAACACGTCTCAAAACAACTCCCCCTCCCTTGTGTTCATTCAACCCCCAACCCCCAACCCTTCCCCCTTCCCGTGTGCTCATTCATCCCTGCAGCTGGGCCAGCATCAGGAGGCGGTGGAGTTTGCAGAGCGAGCAGCCATGTTTGACAGCAACCTCTCCTCCTACGTGGTGTCTCTGCGAGCCAAGATGGCTGCTGCAGGTGAGGGAAAGGGGTGGGGGATGGGGTTGGGTCGACTCAGAACTAGTTTGCAGAGCGAGCAGCCATGTTTGACAGCAACCTCTCCTCATATGTCATGTCTATGCGAGCCACGATGGCAGCTGCAGGTGAGGGAAAGGGGTGGGGGATGGGGTTGGGTCGACTCAGAACTAGCTTGCAGAGCGAGCAGCCATGTTTGACAGCAACCTGTCTTCCTATGTCATGTCTCTACGAGCCAAGATGGCAGCTGCAGGTAATGAAAGGCCCTCACCTCACCACACCTCGCTTAACCTCACCTCACCTTACCTCACACAGACGATTAAATCCCGTCTCCAATACTGAACTTTTCTTGCCCTGCATCTCTTCCCCATCCCCCCTTCCCCATTCACCATTCCCCCTCCCCTCTTCCCTGTCCTTTCCCCTTCCGCTTCCCCCGCAGAGGAGGGGAGGCAGAATCGCCTGAGCGCATGGGGGCAGCCGCACACGGGGGGAGGGGGTTGGGCTGGGAGCAGCAGCAGCAGCAGCGGCACCAGCAGCAGCGGAGGCAGTCCCTCTGCTGCTACAGCTGCTGAGCCTGTTACTACTGCCCCTGGTTCAGGTATAGAGTCTGTGGCAGGGGCAGGTGCAGCAACTGAAGCAGGGAGGGAAGCAGGGGAAGACACAGACGCTGTGGGAACAGGCAGAGGGATGGGAGCTGCTGCAGGCACTGCTGCAGCAGCTGGTGATGCTCGTGCTGATAGCGCTTTGGGTGGTTCTGGGGACCCCAGTCGTGGTGCTGCTGCTGCTACCGGTGGTGCTGCTGCTACAGGTGCTACTGCTGCTGCTGGTAGTGGTGTTACAAGTGGTGCTGCTGCTGCTGGTGGCAGTGGTAGCGGCCACAGCAACCCACACAGGCGCATCAGCATTCGCTCGCTAAGTGACTTACTTAGGTCGCGCTCGCGGCGACGGGGGCACTTTCTTGGCGAGAATGAAGGCTTGGCTTCGACCGGAGAGGCACCAGCAACAGTGGAGGAAGAGGAGCGAGTGGGGCCGGAGGGAGTGAGGAGAGAAGGCGTGGGGGCAGAGGGACAGGAGGCAGGGGCATTGGGGGCACGGGGAGCAGGGGATAGGGGAGAGGGTGATAGAGTGGAGGGCAGTGAGGCGAGGAGGGAAGAGGAGGTGAAATTGGCAGAGGAGGGAGTAAAGGAAGAGGGTGGGGAGGAGGGTGCAGAGGAGAACGAGGCGGATGAAGGGGAGGCGGAGGAGGAGGAAGAGGAAGAGGATTTTGAGGTTCGTGTGGACGTGAGACTGGGTGCTGGCGTAGAAGCAGAGGAGAGAGAAGCAGACAGGGGGGATGAACTCGTGGGAGGAGGAGCGGGAGGAGTGGGAGGAGCGGGAGGAGCGGGAGGAGGAGGAGAAGCGAGTGGGGGAGCAAGGAGGGTGAGTCTGAATCTTAGACTGAGGAGGAGCAGAGAAGGGGAGGAGGACCGAGAGGAGGAGGGAGTGCGACGGGAGAAGAGTGCGCGAGGGGCGGGTGGAGAGACGAGGAGAATGGGGGGCGGGAGTGTGGGCGCGCGGGAGGAGGGAGAAGAGGAGGACGAGGAGGGGGAGGAGGGTGAGGAAGGCGAGGAGGAAGAGGTGAAAAGGGGGATGAGGGCAGTGGATATGCGGCAGCGCTTTGTGGGGCACTGCAACACGGGGACGGATATCAAGCAGGCGTCTTTTCTGGGCGACCGGGGGGAGTTTGTGTCGAGTGGGAGCGATGATGGGCGGTGGTTTGTGTGGGAGAAGCGCACTGGCAGAGTGGTGAAGATGCTGGCAGGGGACGAGCATGGTGAGTGGGACGAGCATGGTGAGTGGGACGAACATGGTGAGTGGGACGAACATGGTGAGTGGGACGAACATGGTGAGTGGGACGAACATGGTGAGTGGGACGAACATGGTGAGTGGGACGAACATGGTGAGTGGGACGAGCATGGTGAGTGGGACGAGCATGGTGAGTGGGACGAGCATGGTGAGTGGGACGAACATGGTGAGTGGGACGAGCATGGTGAGTGGGACGAACATGGTGAGTGGGACGAGCATGGTGAGTGGGACGAGCATGGTGAGTGGGACGAGCATGGTGAGTGGGACGAGCATGGTGAGTGGGACGAGCATGGTGAGTGGGACGAGCATGGTGAGTGGGACGAGCATGGTGAGTGGGACGAACATGGTGAGTGGGACGAGCATGGTGAGTGGGACGAGCATGGTGAGTGGGACGAGCATGGTGAGTGGGACGAGCATGGTGAGTGGGACGAGCATGGTGAGTGGGACGAACATGGTGAGTGGGACGATGAGTGGGACGAGCATGGTGAGTGGGACGAGCATGGTGAGTGGGACGAGCATGGTGAGTGGGACGAGCATGGTGAGTGGGACGAGCATGGTGAGTGGGACGAGCATGGTGAGTGGGACGAGCATGGTGAGTGGGACGAGCATGGTGAGTGGGACGAGCATGGTGAGTGGGACGAGCATGGTGAGTGGGACGAGCATGGTGAGTGGGACGAGCATGGTGAGTGGGACGAGCATGGTGAGTGGGACGAGCATGGTGAGTGGGACGAGCATGGTGAGTGGGACGAGCATGGTGAGTGGGACGAGCATGGTGAGTGGGACGAGCATGGTGAGTGGGACGAGCATGGTGAGTGGGACGAGCATGGTGAGTGGGACGAGCATGGTGAGTGGGACGAGCATGGTGAGTGGGACGAGCATGGTGAGTGGGACGAGCATGGTGAGTGGGACGAGCATGGTGAGTGGGACGAGCATGGTGAGTGGGACGAGCATGGTGAGTGGGACGAGCATGGTGAGTGGGACGAGCATGGTGAGTGGGACGAGCATGGTGAGTGGGACGAGCATGGTGAGTGGGACGAGCATGGTGAGTGGGACGAGCATGGTGAGTGGGACGAGCATGGTGAGTGGGACGAGCATGGTGAGTGGGACGAGCATGGTGAGTGGGACGAGCATGGTGAGTGGGACGAGCATGGTGAGTGGGACGAGCATGGTGAGTGGGACGAGCATGGTGAGTGGGACGAGCATGGTGAGTGGGACGAGCATGGTGAGTGGGACGAGCATGGTGAGTGGGACGAGCATGGTGAGTGGGACGAGCATGGTGAGTGGGGCGAGCATGGTGAGTGGGGCGAGCATGGTGAGTGGGGCGAGCATGGTGAGTGGGGCGAGCATGGTGAGTGGGGCGAGCATGGTGAGTGGGGCAAGCATGGTGAGTGGGGCGAGCATGTTGAATGGTGGGGTGAGACATGGTGAGAGAGGATGAGGATAGGGTGTGATGTACGGCATGGCAGCACATGGCAGTTGGTGTTTGACATGCGTGGCAGGGCATGTGGGAATGGGCGAGTCTTTGAGTGGAAAACGCGGACTGTCAGGGTGGTGAGGATGCATACAGGGGACGAACATGGTGAGTGGTGGGGTGAGGAAGGGCATGGTTAATGAATGGGGTGACATGATATGACTCACAGGCTTGAGAGTGGATGATACGCCATGGTATGGCATGAGTGTGCATGGCAGTGCGTGACCCCCTCTATTCCTTTGTTGCCTGACTCTTCCTACTCCGGCTCTCCTCTTTATCCATTTGCTCCGTTGTGAAACGTTCTCCAAGGTCACTCTCCCCTCCCACTTCACCCTTATGCTAGTGGTGAACCTTTCAGTGTCATCTGATTGACTGCTGATTAGGAGCAACCCCCCACTCGTGACTTGATCCCATGATCCCCCCTTCCCATGCTTCCCTCTTCCCTCCCCTTCCCCGCAATTCCAATTTCAGTGGTGAACTGCATTCAGTGTCACCCAGTCGACTGTTGTGTCGCCACCAGCGGCATCGATGACACCATCAAGGTGAGGCACAGCATCTGGATTGGCTGATTCTGGGCCGTTTTCCCCATGCATCCCTCTCCTTCGCATCCTTCTCCCCGGATTGCATCCCTCCCTTTGCGTCCCTCTTTCCTCCCTCTCCCTGCATCCCGCTTCATCCCCACCTAATTCTCCTTCAAATTCATTACCGTGCCTCTGTTCCTCCTCCTCCCCCCATCAGTTGTGGACGCCCCATGCACCATCGGCATCAAGGGTAGCAGCAGGGGTGGGGGGGCCTGAGCCGGCCGACATGATTCGAGTGATGGTGGAGAACCAGCAGCGCATGCGCCGACCTCGCGAGTTCTTTGCGTGAGTGCTCCCTCACCTCGCTTTTTACTGCGTACATTCTCCTTTCGGAAAAAGGGCATGCCTTATTAACTCTAGGTTGACATGGTATGTAATCTACGGTATTGCATTTTGGCCTCTTTGTGCTGCACCACTGGTGATTCACAAAGGATGTTGTTCTCTGTTCGATGCAATCTCTCCGTACAGGCCTATGGAGCTTCTGCAGCGCCTGCAGATGCATGAGAACGCAGGATTTGAATGTGCGCAGTCCTGAGCGTCTTGGAGTGTAAAGAGGGTGACGTGGTGTATGCGTGCACATCGATGAACAGTTTCGCCAAGACTTGAATAATCTAGCATATGATGCTCCAATGCATTTGTGTATAGAGATAGTCAAACCCTTCTAACATCTTGCAGAGAGTGCTTGGACTTAAAAAGGATTATTTGTCTGTTGATGTTGGAAGGACTGGAAGAAATTGTACACAGAAACTACAGTGCGTGGAATGTATGCCGAGTATGTATACGAAAAACTATATCGGAAATCACTGGTGCCTGGATGTAAGGAATTTTCTCGGCATTCCTTACGGAGCCCGACTACATCGCGTACAGCAACAGCCGTTGTTCGCCCGTTACTGCTAACGGGGCTTCGCCGACTTCGCGCGCATTGTTTCACCAAACCTCGCACTGCTGGCCTGGCCGTGTCGGCCTACGCTTCGGGACTAGCCCGAGCCTCGCTTCCAGCGTAGCACTAGCTAGCTCGCACGCACCGCGTTACCGTTTGCATGTTTCGCGTATAAATGTTCGCTCATGCCTTCGCTCACATTTTGTACTCGTTTGACACCTTAGTGCAATTCTCGCTACTTCGATTCATTGCACCCGTAACACTTGGTATCAGAGCCCCTTTCTTTCGGACCGCGCATCTCCGCACCCCAGGAAATCAACTTTTGACTTTTCACTCGAAGGGACTCACGTACCTTAGCACCTAGGAGCCGCTGTCCTCGCGTTCTCTCGTAAACGCGTGCAGCCACGACTGCGCCTAGACTAAGACGAGCCGACGCCCTTCGAAATGGCTGAACATATCGACGTCACGACTCTCACGCAGGAGCACTTAAACGATCTGCTGCGACAAATCCGCGAGAGCGCCGAGGAAATCGCGACGCTGACGGCAGAACGCTCGTCCCTGCAAAACGACCTCACACGGGCACAATCCCAAGCACCTGGCACTCCGATTCAGCCCGCACCACAGACATCACAGCACGGAAGTGTGGGGCAACCCGCGAGCGCCGCAAGTGATGGCGTCGTCCGCCATGACGGAGACGACGACCACGGCACGACACACCCCGACGCGACGAATGCGGCCAGGACTCAGCCTCGAGTCACGATTTCGGTGCCGGCCGGCGAATCAACTCTTCCGTCGCCGATGCCGCTAAAGCCGCAGCGTCCGCCATGCTTTGACCCAAGTTAGCGGGGTGGTCCTACCGTTCAGGCGTGGCTCTTCACGTTGAACGTCTTCTTCGACACGAACCACGTCTCGGAGGATACGGCGAAGATTCGCTACGCCGTGTCGTTGCTGCGAGGACCCGCCATGGACTGGTGGCGCGTCATCGTCACGAAGCCGGTGGACTACGCGACTCTACCGACACGGGAAGGACAAACCGGACCCTGGGCGCCGTCGTATTTCGTGGAGGCGCCCCAGTATCGCACGTGGGACGCGTGGTGCGCAGGTCTGCGCGCTCGTTTCGAGCCAATCGCGGCTTCGATCGCGGCGCGACAGAAGCTCCGCACTTGGCGCCAACTCGGTTCCGTCCAAGATTACACGAGCGGATTTCTGGCGCTATGCGAGCAGGTGGGATATATGCACGAGAGCGAGCGCATCGACCGCTACATCGGCGGCCTGAAGCAGGACATCGCTCAGGAAATCCAGCTTTGCGGCGTCACCGACTTTCAAGAAATTCTCGCGTCACCGACGTATCGGCCTCGTGGGACGAACGAGGGCGCCACGATACGTGCCGTCGCCGCAAATGCCGCTGCCGCACCGTTCAAAGGGCGCTGCTTTGCGTGCAATCGGCCGGGACATCGCAAGAGCGAATGCCCGGAAAACGCTAAGGGAAAGGGGGAAGCTGAGCAGCAGAAACAGACCAAGCAGCAGGGAAACGCTGGGAGTCAGTAGCAGATGGGCCCTATACTGACAGGTCACGCCGCTCGCCCGACCCAACCGACCCTCACCGAGTGATTGTGCCGGTTCACGCAATCGACCACTCCCGGCCGAATAAGGAGGGTACTACGGTAGATAGGCCTATACTGCTTAGTGGGAAAATCGGGACGGGCTTAGTTAAAATCTTCGTAGACGGAGGGGCCAGCCAAAGCCTTATCAACACTGCCACAGCACGAAAACTGCGACTGCCACTCGACAGATGCTTACCTGAGATCGACGCAAGACTGGTCGACGGTACACCACTGGCGATACGGGAACGCGTGGACCGAGTTCGGATTTGATGCGGGGGCAACTTCACGTTTAGCCAGGAAATGCTCGCAACGACCCTCGACGGAACCGATATTTTAAAATCTTCGTAGACGGGGGAGCTAGTCACAGCCTCATCAACACTGCTACAGCACGAAAACTGCGACTACCACTGGACAGATGTTTACCTGAGATCGACGCACGACTGGTAGACGGCACGCCGCTGGCAATACGAGAACGCGTAGACCGGGTTCGGATTCGATGTGGGGGTAACTTCACATTTAGCCAGGGAATGCTTGCAACGACCCTCGGCGGAACCGACATTTTACTCGGGCGTGATTGGCTGCGACGACACAATCCGCGAATCGACTGGACGACGGGTGACTGCACCGTGTGAGTGAACGGTAACAACATCGCCCTACCTCGCTGGGGCTCGCCTGAGTCTTCGTCGGTGCGTGTCAACGCGATCACGATGAAACACGCCGTAGCGGCAGGAGCTAACGTGTACGCGGTCGACATTTGGGAAGCCGAGGCAGCAGACAAAGGAGGGGATTTACAGAAACTGCTGGCTGACGTACCGAGTGATCTGGCAGCACTGTTGAAGCAGTACAGCGACATTTTCTCGGACGATTTACCGACGGGACTGCCACCTCAGCGACCGCACGACCAGAAGATAGAGTTAGAACCGGGGGCGCAGCCAACAGTACAGCGACAGTTCCGACTGACCCAGCCCGAACTGGACGAACTGAGGAAGCAGCTCGATTACCTGCTCGCGAAGGAGTTCATTCGCCCTAGTTCGTCGCCCTTCGCAGCACCGATACTGTTCACACCGAAAAAAGACGGGGGATTTCGCATGTGCATAGACTACAGAGCACTGAACAGGGTTACCATCAAATCCCGTTACCCCATCCCGCGAGCCGACGAACTGATCGACCAACTGCGCACAGCCCGGGTTTTCTCGAAAATCGACCTCCGAGGGGGTTACCACCAGATTTGCGTCAATCCGCCCGACTGCCCTAAGACCGCATTCCGAACACGCTACGGATCCTTCGAATACACCGTCATGCCCTTCGGACTGACCAACGCCCCCGCCACTTTTCAAATGACCATGAACGAAGCTTTCCGCCCGCTCTTAGATAAGTGCGTCATAGTATATCTGGACGACATACTGATTTACAGCCCCGACAGAGCACAGCACTTACAGGACATCGAAGCAGTTTTTAAAATACTGAGTGAGAACCGCCTACTGACAAAAGCGTCTAAGTGTGAGTTTTTACAGGACCGCCTGGAATTTTTGGGACACGTTATTTCAACTGCAGGAGTGGAAATAGACCCGAAGAAAATTGCGACGATTCAAGCATGGCACGCGCCGACCAGCTTGACCGAGTTGCAGAGTTTTTTGGGGTTCGTCAACTACGTGCGCCGGTTCGTCCCCGACATGGCGAAGCTGATTGCCCCGCTGACAGACCTGCTGAGGAAGGGGGTTGAGTACACGTGGGGGGAGAAAGAGCAAGCTGCCTTCTCGGCCCTCAAAAACATTTTGTGCTCACCGCCCGTGCTTCACATCGCAGACCCACACCGTCCGTTCGAGCTCGTCACTGACGCAAGTGACATCGCTGTGGGAGCAGTACTGTTGCAGGATTTCGGGAACGGCCTCCAGCCAATCGCGTATGAGTCCCGCAAGCTGCACCCGCCCGAACGCAACTACCCGATACACGACTGCGAAATCTTGGCAATCGTGCACGCGTTCAAGGTTTGGCGGTGTTACCTGACTGGCGCCGACGTGACAGTACGGACAGACCACCGATCACTACAGTACTTACGCGCCCAACCGAATCTCAATCCACGACAGATTCGCTGGTTGGACTACCTCGAGTCCAACTTCCACTATACGGTTACGTACAAGAAAGGCGCATCCAACATCGCCGACGCACTCACCCGCCCTACCGCCCAGCTCCACGCCATCCTACTCGCCCAGACCAACCCGCTTTTAATAGGCCTATTCACCCACGGATACCGCACCGACCCATTTTTCACGACTGGAAACTCACAGCAACTAGCAGACGCTAAAGGGGTTTATTACGTAAAAACAGGCACCAACCGCATCTGGGTACCCGCGTACTCACTACTGAGGGAGCTGCTACTGCAGGAGGCACACGACGGAATTACCTCGGGACATTTTGGGGTAGAAAAAACGCGACAGCAACTGCAGCGGTATTACTACTGGCCGGAGCTGTTGACCGACGTGCAGCAGCACGTGGGCTCGTGCCCCACGTGTCAGGTGATGAAGAGCTCGAGGAAGCGGAAGGCGGGTCAATTGCAGCCGATACCACCGCCTGAGCGCGCCTGGCAGCAGGTCACCATGGACTTCGTCACAGGGTTACCTTCGAACCCTGGGGGTAACGACGCGGTGATGGTCGTCGTTGACAGGTTGACGAAGATGGCACACTTCGCTGCGTGCAAAAAGTCGATCTCAGCCGAGGAAACCGCTCGTCTGTTCATCGCAGCCGTTGTTCGCCTGCACGGGATACCAGCAGCAATTATCAGCGACAGGGACACGAAGTTCACCA